CTAAGCCGTGAGCGGATTTTATCAGATGCCGGTTCAATATGACCTTTATCCGGGTCCTGGTCCGCTGACGCACTCTTGGAGAGCCGAATCACAGCAAAACTCCATCCACGACTGTATCTATACGGCTTACGCTTTTCTGAAAACGTCTGCGTTTGGCCTACGGGCCCGGCCGGCCGGCCGGACGGCCCCGATTGGCGATCCACCAGTGACGTCACTGGTAGTGTTAAGCTGATTGGCGAATAATGCATGGGGAAAACCGGGACGACATCCCCCTGAATAGAGCTACAGCGCTGCGGAAAAGGGCATTCCATAGCTCTTTAACAAACCTTTCTGAACAATGAACATTGCCCTCAGATATGACCTCAGATCAACAGTTTAGCCTCCAGATGATAAAACTACTTACAAATAGCCGTTTTTACGAAACAATATTTTTCGGTACCTAATAACTTTTGACTCAAGAGAGACACGACAAAACTTTGGCCAGCATTGTGCTCCTCTCGTCGAGACGCGTCGAATAAACATTAAACCAAAAAGGTCATTTGGAAAATTTGACCTCAGGTCAAGGTCATGATCTGACTGCAAAGGGTCATGCTGCATTATGCATATCAGTTGATCCGTATCGTCGAGCTGAACACATCTGACGCGTTTTCACCGCCATAGCATGTCTCTATCAAAAGTTATAGTAAAAAACTGATGGTGATCTTTCGTGACCTGAGATGACCTCAGGGGCACACAGAGGGGTCACGGGTGCAATTTTCCGATTCAGTGTGTCATGTTTACCTATAAATCGATGTTTGGGAGCAGGGCTGCGGAGTCGATGAATTTTAGGGTGACTCCGACTCCGACTCCGACTCCGGCTTCAAAAATCGACTCCGACTCCGACTCCAACCCCGACTCTGGACGGTTCTATGAATATACCCATATCATGATATTGAAGTTCATAATGGAGATATTTTTATCTTGCCTGAAACGATCCCATGTGCGTTTCAAAGGCTTTGCGTTGCAAATATGCATTAAAAATAACATGCAGATTTTAAAAGCAGGTTCTGGGGCATTCACCGTCTTCTGCTTCTTTCGCTGAAAACGTTCGTCCAAAACAGAAAAAATACCTATTTTCGACAAAATCTAATTTCGATCGCAGTATCGTCAATCAAACAGGTGCAGTGCATGACGTTGAGCCATGCAGCGTTAACTCTGACTCCGGAGTCGGAGTCGGTAAGATTTGGGCGACTCCGACTCCGACTCCGACTCCGGGCAGAACTGTCGACTCCGACCGACTCCAACTCTGACTCCGACTCCGACTCCGCAGCCCTGTTTGGGGGTGTTCAGAACGACATTCGTCCAAAACAGGCGCATTTCAATATTCTTCCATTGACTTATAATGGAGAAGTCGCAAAGTTGACCTGACCTCAGGTCACAGATATCAAAATTCCGAGAGGTACATTTCATACATACTGTTACTATCATCAAGCTCTGCAATTTTCAAAGCGATCGTTCAGTCGATGTAGCTACAGCGAGTCTTGAACTTTTTCTGAGGTAAGATCACTTGACGTGACCTGTTGACCTGACATTGAACGACCAGGGCCTGAAATTTTCACAACATATGCGGAAAAGATGCATGGACAGGTGCCGTTTTTCAAGATATTCGCGAGGGGCGTGAAAACGCCCCCCCCCCCCCCACAGCACTGCGCGGATTAACCCGCAACCCCACGTTGTGGGGGGGGGGGGCAAAAGGGTCTCCCCCGGTGGTTTTTCGCAGATATCCCAGAAACGGCTGCGAATTTCGGCTTCCAACTTTCAGTACCTCTCCGGGCATCAATTCTACACGATTCCTGAAAAAAATGAGGCACCAGGTCATCTCATGTCACAAGCTATAGAGGTCAAACTGAAGTCATGTTCGACGATTTTTCATCGAAAAAGTCGTTCAAGAAGAAAAATAGCAGAAAATCAGACTTTCAACCTAGAGACTCAAATATCAAACATAGAGTATAAAAAAGCATGGCGAACAAAATGGGGTAACAAAACGGCTCTCTCGAAATTTTCTAAATACTAAAATCGCATGATCTAGGATTTTCTAACTAAATTTAGATTTCTGGAAATGTTTTTGAAATTAAGGGAAATTAAAAAACGGAACGCATGTGATAGGACCCCTTCACAGCCAAAAATTAACAAAATATCTCTAAAACTGCCAGAGATTTAGTTATTTGAATGACTGAAAAGTAGCGACTGTTCTTATGTGAGTTTATGACGTCACAATGTTTTCAGTAGGTATTTGGGCTTCAAATCAGTCAGAAGTAATATTCATGACCCTTATCAACCTCTTCCTGACTGAATATGATCTTTCACGTGATAAAAGTCACTCTTACGTAAAAAAAATATTTTTCGTCGTAAATTAGTAGGTGTATTTTGACCATTTTTGATATTCCCGTTACGTCAAAGGTCTAAGGAAATAAAGACACTAAGGAGCGGAGGGGGCAGCTATCGGGACGAAACTAAATTACCATAACCACCACCCGCTGCGGTCACAATGTTCAAGGATGTTTCTGTGGCTACATATATATGACATGTCTGTATAAAGACTCGAATATTTACATTAACATGCCTTACCTTGCGATTCACGTGTTTTCTGATTGGTCGAGGCTGACCCCTGTTGTGACGTCACCGGTCATCATCCATTCAGATAACTATCTACATGCCCGATCTATCACATACATCATATCCAGAATCATTTTGGAAATCTAGGTTCCTTTTTTATGGCCGACTTCTCGTCATTGTAAATTGGACTGATTTGACCTTGTTTGACCTCCCTATGACGTCACAGGCCAAATATGAAGGTCATTGATATCCTATCCGATTGTGCATCTAGATGATTTCTTTAGAATGTCGTTTGAATTTTTCCGATCCCGCTATTGGTTTCGGAGATACGAAGGGGCCCTTTGCTTCCCCCCCCCCACAGAACGTGGAACCTGCCAGACCTCAGCGGGGCGCGGGGCGTTTATATAAGAATTACATCAGTGCTAAAATACGTATTAGAACGGTTCAGCAGTGGTTATTGTCGATCTGCAAATGATTTAGGCTCGCATTCCACAGCGGGTTATATAACCTGGATCGGATCATTTCAACACTGCAGTGTCGCAAAAAAAATATCTACCTAGCACTACACGCGACATGAAGCAAATGCGCAGCAAGTATAAGCAAGCAAATGCATGACGCCATGAATCATGACACAGTGGACTTTCGAGAGCAGCGTTATTCAAACAATGAACAGATTTGATAATGCCATGTTGCGAAATAGCTACCTTAACCATCTAATGCGCAGTTTAGCGCTCAAGGTAACCCTGACGTCATGGGTTTGGCTATCGGAAAAGTAAAGGTCTAGAATGGGGGGGGGGGTTCGGGGAGCGTGCCTTTTCGATTGTTTCCTATTTCGATCATCTTTCCTCTGAGCGCAAGGCCGTTCTTAGTTCTTAGAGCCACGTAAATGGGACTGGGGAGTGGGTAGGGTATTAATAGTATGAATAATGAACTGAGGAAACAACCGCATTGACCGATGGCTGTAGTCAGTAAATGAATACTGTATGGGGTAGCGGCCAATAGTAAAAAAAATATTGCCCGATGTAACGCCACAGTAGCCCGAGGGTGAAGACCGAAAAATGCTTTATTGCCGAGGCGTAGCCGAGGACAATAATGCTTGTTTACAGTGGCGGCACAGAGGGGAATGTTTTTTTTCTTATTGCCCCTACCCCAAAAAGTATTCACTTTCTATGGCCCACCCCAACACGCTAATCAATATCGTTAATGTCGCTGCCCAGAAGAAAATTGAAAAAGGATTCAAATTTTAAACACACACGGATTACTATTGCCCGTTGTCATGGTGTCACTAGCAAAAATATGTATTCCTTCAGAAGGAAATTAAATGTGAAAATTGCGCTCAACAGTCAAAATTATTATACACCCAGTTATCATAAGAGTTACGAAATAATCTAATTAGACGGTCATATCACATTTAAAAGTGACTCTATCGCATGTGTCCCCACTTGGGGGGAGGGGGACATCATAGGCATTTATCTCTCGTCTCAGTCTCCCACATCCACACAAATAAACGAAATTTTGCAAATTTTCTCGTACAGAAATAAGCTTTCACATGACTTTCATAAAGAAATTATATGTTAAATGCCAAGAAGGGAACAAGAAAACAATGTCCTAGAAGTTTGGAGAATGCCAATGGAAAACTTATCCAAGAGCACGCCCCACGACGCCTCCGGGCACTAGTCAATTTTTTCGGGAGTGTCTAAAAATCAGACGAGACTAGCGGACGAGCCCATGCTCAATAACTACTGGCCCGAGATTGATAATTCTTTCACCATTCAATAGCAGATAACTTATTTAAGAGCCGTTCTTCGTTTTTTTTTTGCGATTGGTTTACTCTGACTGAACCAATCGGACCAAAATGGTCCAGAAACATAGACGAGCCCATGCTCCGAAACTACTGGGCCGAGTTCAATGAAACCTTCACCATTAGACGCGCCGCTGTCTGAAACGGTGCCTTTTACGATAATTTTTTCATTGGTCCACCCTAAGTGGTCCAAATCGGTCCAAAACCCCCAAAAACTGTTGCAGACGAGCCCATGCTCCGAAACTAATGGACTGATTTCGATGAAACCTTCACCGCTGGACGCGCCGCTGTCTGAAATGGTGCTATTTTTCACAATTTTTTGATTGGTCCACCCTAAGTGGTCCAAATCGGTCCAAACCTCCTAAAAACTGTTGCAGACGAGCCCATGCTCCCAAACTACCTGACTGATTTACCCTCCCTCACCTCACTCCCCGTCTCCCCCCCCCCCCCCAACCCTTCAGTCGCTCGGGGACATAACTTGAACTGCATCACGCCGAAAATCTACATCCACGCACATCCCATTCAATATGCCACCAGACCACTGCGATTAGCTGCGTCTGTTCGCTATCAACAAGTCTACATTCACAGACAACAAACTCCAGTAGAAGCATCAGCATCGGTCAACATTTATTGGCCCGAACAAACACAGATACAAACCACGCCGCGGCAGCGTGGCAGACAGAGACCCAAATCGCGCACATCTCTGGGCTACAATCAAAAATCAATCGAGGGTCCATATGATCCCTGAAAGCGCGTCGCCCGCAGCACCTCGCGTATGGCGAACAAAACAGTAACTTACAAATTCGGCTCGATACATAACCATAGCCGCGGGCAGCAGTCCACCGACCCGAAATCACAGCTCACTTTTTGCCCTCGACCTTCGGGGCGTCCCCGGCACCCTCGATGGCGATCGGAATGTCCCTGGTCGCAGGCAGCGCCGGCTTGTTGATGTAAGGCGCCTCCAGCAGCAGGTCGCCGTTGGGGGTCAGGTGGGAGGTGAGCTGGTCCACCTTGGTGTTCTGCGGCAGCGTCATCTGCCGCACCGTTCGGCTGTGCGAGTAACCGTCCTCGTGCTTCTCCTCGTGCTCGGCCCGCACGGTCACCACGTTGTCGGCTACCTTGACCACCACTTCGTCAGGTTTGTAGTGGCCCAGGTGCATCGAAGCCTGGAACTTGTCCGAATCCTTCAGGGTGTGATGGGGCTCGATGTCCGCCAAGAGCGGGAACACGGCCCATGGCTCCAGCAGCAGATCCATCGCAGAAAGTAGCGCGAGCGAGCGAGACACAGACCAACCACGACAAACACCACTCGAATGTCTGACTCCGCGGGCGGCGGGCCGGTCACTTTTGTTACCAGACAGACGGGACGGGATCCGCCGGCACTGCACGGGACTGTTCCGGACACCGGCGGCGTCAACTGGCGACGGCTCACCAATGATCCATTTCGCGAGCTCGCTCCGTGTTGATGATCTATCTTTGACTCTCATTGGCCGGAGACCTCTGACGTCATACCCCAGTACTGGCTTCTGATTCGCTGCTAGATGACGTCGCTGTACGATCAGCTGGGTGTCTAGACCAGTCTGGGCGTTTCGGAATGTTACGAGTGAGGTAGGCCCTCAAGGCCGTGCAACCGGAACATTCCAAAGGGGGGGGGGGGGGGGGGGGGAACTGACGCGACTGTAGATTCCGCCTTCCGGTGCCGTCTGGAATGTTCAATTGAACGTTATTGCTTGATCGCTGGATAACATTGCTAGGTGTTAAATGCCGCCTCCCGGCTCCGTAAATTTTAGGTAAGGAGGACCCGGATCGAAAAAGAAAAAGGGTTGGAAACTGGACAAAAAAAGCCAGAGACTGTCTGGCGTGATGAATCAACTCCGATTTTTCCGTTACTCCGATTTTTCCATTACTATTTCAAATATTCAAATCTATGATGCGGGGGATTTTATGATCCAAGGCTTAGATATATATACATAGAAGGCTATGTCTATGCACGTAGCGACCGACAAGTGGCTTTCGAAAGAACGCCGAAAATCATGGTAAAAGTAATTAGGTCATTCTTTTAGGTAAGGTCACCAGACACCAGACGTCATCACAGATCAAATTTTGCCCATTTCAACATTTTTTCAGCCCGAGAGAGAGAGAGAGAGAGAGAGAGAGAGAGAGAGAGAGAGAGAGAGAGAGAGAGAGAGGGAGAGAGAAAGGGAGGGAGAGAAAGAGAGAGAGAGAAGGAGAGAGAGGGAGAGGGAGAGGGAGAGAGAGAGAGAGAGAGAGAGAGAGAGAGAGAGAGAGAGAGAGAGAGAGAGAGAGAGAGAGAGAGAGAGAGAGAGAGAGAGAGAGAGAGAGAGAGAGAGAGATCGGCGTAAAACTCGGGACCAATAAAGCTACGGCACCGCGGAAAAGCACATCGGTCAATAGTCAACGGCTGAGCCTGCAGAGAACTGATTGCCGGCGATAACTTTGATTAAAAACTTTGGCAAAATTACTTTTACCGATTTCGTGCTCCTCTCGTGGAAAAGTGTCGAATGAATTAAGTAATAAGTTGTCCTTATAAGCTTAAGGGCAACATTAAGCTTTGGCCGCCCTCAGGTCAACGTAATGACTTGTTGAGCTCTCGCCGGATGGGGTGGGGGCGTGTACAGCCCCTCAACCATATTATTTTTTTCGCAATAGTTCGGAACAGCCGGCGATACAGAGCTGACACTCAGCATACCTGACATTTGATCTAAGCCCAAATCCAAATCTTGTGACACCAACCGCATTTTCAGGTCATCAGGTCACTGACCTGTGACGTCATAAGCGAACTTCTGCCGACCCCAAAATGTCGCAACTGATCGCAATGTCCTCAGTGCCAAATGAGCTTTCATGCCGGGAGATGAAACTTACAGGACCTGAAATCATTCAGAGGTCTCGCAGCCTGTATAATGTATATCTCCAATTTTTCTTAAAGGAACCCTCCCACCTTCAAAAAAGTTAATGAATTGGCATGAAGGTGATGTCGCTCGGTTCAGAAAGAGCAAAAACGAACATCACTGAAATTTGGTAGGCTACCAAATTTCACCGAAAAATATTCACCGGTTTTCAAGATATTAGACATTTACCTACTTTTGTTTACTTTTTGGGGATCTCCGCTGTTTCTAGCGACTTCATTTTGGAAGTGCGGCGTTTGCGGCAGATGTTGCGCGCAAATAGCATATACCACCACTGCTTCACAAAGATGTTAGTATAAGGTTTTAAAATCGTTAGATCACCGCTGACGTCACAAATTCTAAGGGGGCATCCTAATGCATTAGCCCCTTAGAATCCGAAAACTGTAAGTTTGAAATTCCATATCTCCGAATTAAAGCATTTTTCGATGTTGTGAGTGCCCAAACCGGTATTTGCAGGCCATGGCCACCAATTTGGCTATCTCAACTCAAAACTAATGTTGAGGTGGGATGGTCATTGGTCACTTTAAGTATCACCTGAGATCAAGTCGGTGACGTGTGACCTCACCGTTAAATGTCAATGGGGAGGGGCTTGAAAGTTAAATATGAATGTTATTTCGGCACCGGGAATGATATAAGACTACCTAAAGTACATACATTGAATCGTGAGTTCATGCAATCCTAGCAAGGTCCGATGCTTCACTTTTGCATCATTACCTTGCGTGACGCCATTCATGACATCACTAAAGCCATATAACTTCTTTCAATAATTTCCGATTAAGTTGAGCTAGCGAATCAGGAAAGCCAGTGCCACCAATGGACTCGGGAAAAAATTTGAATCGAATGATGTGTGGTATGACCCTTTCAACCAGCTTCGTGCGCTAAGCGGCTCTGACCTGACCTTCACACGAGGTCAACACCTAAACCTGCGCCCGGCTGGACCCATAGGCGGCGGAACGGGGAGGGCACCAGGGCACCGTGCCCCCCCCCCTTTGATTTTGGCATTTTAACATTAGCCCTATGGGCGTTGCATGGAAAGAATGGGACCAAAAGTCGGCAGTGCCCCCCCCCCCCTCATTGAAGGTGTTCCGCCGCTACTGGCTGGACCTCTCAGCCAGCTTTGCCATAGCGTATTTGGCCACACCAGGTTATCACGGAAAGTAAGAAAGCTAGAGAGACGCAGGAAAAGCAATAGATGGATCGTTGTACGATCTTTCAGGATCACACTGGTCATTTTCGATCAAGTCATCGGTGAGGTCACTGGAGGTCGATAAAAGCAAAACGATCACAAATTTGTATTGCCGATTGAAGTAGACAACACGGCGTCCCGTTCAAAACTGTATTCCTTCCCGGCTGCTCACGGGGGGGGGGGGGGGTCACGGAAACGATCTCCAACTATCTCAAGCACACAGAATCGTGATTTGATGCACTCCTTGCAAGGTTACATGCGTCACTTTTGCAATGTTGACCTTGCGTGACGTCATTTATGACGTCATTAGGGTCATATTAGTTTTTCGTCAATAACTCCCGATCAAATTGAGCTAACGAGTCGGGAAAGCCATCAATGGACTCAGGAAAACCTGCCAAATCGAATGATATGCGACATGACCTACTTCGACCAATTTCGTGACCTGGGGGCGCTGACCTGACAGTCACCTGAGGTCAACACCCTAAGTTGACCTCACCCAAACAAAAAGTATATCGTTCGACGTGCCTGAGCGAGGCGAACACGATGCTGCCAAAATCGCGGCTCTGCGGCCATTTTTTGCGAAGTTATTCACCAAAAACAGGACCGTACCTTGGGGCACTTGACCTGACCTCAGAGATCACCGGTTGACCTAGGAACTTAAAATCGGGTATCAATCTCTGCGTCTCGTAACGGCGACACGCTCGTTTTTTTTTTTCCGCGACGCGCTAGCTCCACCAGGGGCGAAACGGCGAGGGGGGTCGTACCCCCCCCCCCCTCTGTAGGGCACAGTGCATATGGCAGTCGGGTCAGTCGGGCCAATCTGCGCTTGTGCTAGCTTGCAAAAATGAGCATAGTGCTATCCATAATCCAACAACTGAATTTACAAATCAGCAGACACCGATAACCGCCAGTGGGCAGGTGCTGGAACGATTACGTGACAAAAGATCGTAAGACAAAATATCGTATGGAAAAATATCGTACGAAAATGATCGTAAGATAAAGATCGTATGTTGTAAAAGATCGTACGACAAAAGATCGTAAGCAAAAGATCGTAAAGCAATTGATCGTATGAAAAAGATCGTAGGAAGATGATCGTAAGATGAAGATCGTATGTCGCAAAAGATCGTACGACTCAAGATCGTTAGCAAAGGATCGTAAAGCAAAGGATCGTATGAAAAAGATCGTAGGGAAATGATCGTAAGATGAAGATCGTATGTCGCAAAAGATCGTACGACCAAAGATCGTAAGCAAAAGATCGTAAAGCAATGGATCGTAAATGATCGTAAGATAAAGATCGTATGTTGTAAAAGATCGTACGACAAAAGATTGTAACGTTAAGTTCGTAAGTAAATAATCGTATAGAATAGTGTTGTAAGTAAATGATTGTAGCATAAAGCCCGTTATAGTTCGTTCTTTTTTATAGTTCGTTCTCAGCGTCTGGCTGAGGCTGACGCTGAGGGTTTAGTTACGGAGAAGGAAAGACGCGCACCATGGGTTTAGTTACGGAGCAAGCGAAGCGAGCGGAGTCTTTCCTGCAAATTTCTGAGAGAAATTTCTGAGCATGAGCGGCCGGCCGGCCGGCCGTGCGGACGCTTTTGCGAGGCTTATATCTCAGCAACCACTTGACCGATTTACATGCGGTAATTTTTGTAGGGTAGCTTCATTCCTTCTACCAAGTATTGGACTATTCCCGATGCAAACGGGTGACCCCTTATGCACGTGCCACGTGCAAAACGAAGAGGTGTCAGTTTTGTAATTGTTGCAATATCTCGGTAACTACTTGGCCGATTGTGCTCAATGCTGGCATAGAGGTATAGGCACCCACTAGGGCAATGCATATCCATGTGCCAGAGTTGGGGTGCTGCTGCACGTTCGCACATGCCGGGGTCGTTTCCAGATCTCGAGAACGGATGGACCGATGGCGCTCAAATTTGGCACACAGTTAGGGACCGGTTAGTAGGGTGCCGTGCACAAGTCAGCTGGGACCAAGGCCCTATATGCTGGGACCCATTTTGCACGTGCGCACGTGCAGGGTGCCGCTCCCAGATCTCGAGAACGGCTGGGCCGATTGTGCTCAAATTTGGCACATCGCTGGAGACCAGTTAGTAGGGTGCCGTGCACAAGTCAGTTGGAGGTACCCCCTCAAAATTCCACACGTGCAAGGCTCACCCTCTCGCTCGCTCCGTTAGTCGCCCCAAAAGGCGTTATACTGGTTGTATTCACTTCAAATAGGTACGTACATGAAAACAGCAGCACATACAATCATTTATTCGGCACATATACAACGCGTTGCTTTTAGGTGTCATTGAGCCATAAGTTCTGAAATAACATCAATGTGTGGTCGAGCTTACGACGGCCACTTACTATGCGAACACAGAAATTGATAAGCTTTGTATGCGCTGGAGTTGGGCTGCAGCCTGCACTATGTGAATACGATCATTTTGACTGTACGATCTTTAACTCATACGATCATTTGGCGTACGATCATTTTCCTTGACGATCTTTAGCGAATACGATCTTTTGTCCATACGAAGCATTATGTCGTACGATCTTTATCCATTACGACTTTTTGGCATACGATCATTTTCCTTGACGATCCTTAGCGAATACGATCTTTTGTCCATACGAGCATTATGTCGTACGATCTTTATCCATTACGATATTTTGCACACGATCAACTGCCTACGATCTTCTGCCATACGATCTTCTGCTTTACTGTCTTTTGTCCGGTTACCGCTGGAACAACGTCGGACAATGCCGAAAAATGGTAATCAGTGGCAAAATTCGTTTTATGAATCGATAATTAGTTGTCGACAACTTACTTGTTTTAAGAAGTCCATCACACGATAGGTGCATTTTTTGGCAAGTAAATAGTGCAGACAGCTATTTATGCCCGTGAGCATGTCCAGTTTTTGGTTTATGCCGCCGCATGCCGAATGAACTTGTTACAAAGGCATAGGCAAGGCAGTATATCATAGGTAGGTACAGTAAGAACCACGAGAAAGAATATTTGGCTTATTTATTCCTGTATGTTTGATGCAGTTTTGCAATGCAATCCAGCCATCCAAGAAACTTTGCGCGAGACGTTTTCTTGGATGGTTTTCTTGGATAGCTTGATTTCATCGAGGGCTTCTGTTTTAAAGAAAATTTGTAAGCTTTGCTGAACTGTTGAGCAATTAGAACTGCCAGTATCTCAGTATTTAACGTGTAGTTAATGTTACTGTATTTTATTTATGCATATTTCGACCTTTTTTAAGCAAATAACGAACGATATTAAGAAGCATACAGGAAATAATATCGGACGCCATTTAATTGCGTCCCAGAAAAGCTATTTCTGGCACCTAAAAGCTGACTCGCCCCAAAATTGGTCCTCAGCACCTATTTGGTGGATACCAGCACCAATCATGGAAAATGACCTTAATTAGCTGTTTCTGGCACCTATTCATCGGTACGCCTTACTCTTTTTTCTGAATCTGGCACCTAAATGCTGAGCGTAGCACCAATCTAGTAGAAAAATGAACTACTGGCTGGTAGAATCATGTTGTTCTGGTATGACCCCTGGAGTCTAGCCTAAAGGTTGCCAGTGCAGCTACACTCTAAGACAGCCCCGTAGTGATCTCAGCATTGTATATGACGTTTAAGTAAGCAAATAATATTGATTTGTTTGAAAAAAACAATGTCATTTAAATATTTAAAAGTATTTATTTGTAATGCTTAAAGGGAAACATTTTTGTGAGTAATTGTCTCGATTTTGACCATTAAAACGGGTATTGTATTTTTTTGACGTCATCAAATAGCTCCAAAAAATGTAATGTTTTCATTCCGTTCAAGGCCGCTGAAGAAACGCGGGATCTTGCGTGGGACATTGTCCGTTGTTTGCCGCGCAGAGTTGTGCCGTGGTTGTGCCTTTTTCATCCGTTTCTTACTTATGTCACTAGTCATATGTGTGCATGAAGCTTTGATTTTGTTTTTGGTTATTGTGTGGCCGGTCAGTCAAACGCCCCTGTCGAAACCGGATGCTGCGTTTGATCGAGATGGAGTCAGACGATGATTGCAGAAAGCTAATAATATTTGAAAAGAGGGCCGGTTGCGTGGCATGTCTGTTCAGAGTTGACATTTTGCTTTACTCCAGTTTATGACCTGAGAGCCTGGCTGGAAGTGACGGATCCAAACTTTTCACGTTAAAATGGCTGAGGGTGCAATAATCTCTAGTCTCTACGTAGCAGGCTGGTATAGGAGCGTCTTGCTATGCTGCACCATAGCTGGCTAGTGATTCTCTTTTGGCTAGAAATGGCATTAATCATTATCTCCACTGGCGAAAATGGCACTTGACATCACCGAATGCAACGTTCATGTTGTTAGGATACATAAAATCAGGAAGATTACGCAAATTAGGTAGGCAAACGTGGAATAAAATAGGTGCTGGATGTTTTGGTTTTGGTGCTGAATCAGCAAACAGCAAATACGGAGTTCAACTAGACGATCTGGCAACTTTAGGCTGTGTGGAAGCAATTAGGTGCCAGATTCAGATATTAGGGTCGAATAAGCATTTTGGGGCTGATCAGCAATTAGGTGCCAGAAACAGCTTTTTAGGGACCAGAAACAAATATTCCCCAATAATATCTAGGACTCTACCGCGACGAAATATTTATATCTCGAGTTTTCAAAGAATTTCATGCACTCGGCCAAGGCCTCGTGCATGAAATCCTTTGAAAACTCTCGATAGAAATATTTCGTTTTCGCGGTATCGTCCAAGAATGTATATGCTCACATTTTTAGTTGAAGGCATAGGTAATTGTCTGATGTAAGCTATGTGAATTGTTATCCACCCCTTTACGAAACAGTCGATGGCTCCCTCATGTTCTCGATGTTTTCGGTGGTCCCCAGACCCCAGTCCCCGCCCGCCGCGCTGTTTCGTAATACCCCGATACTGAGCCGGCGCCCGGGGCCCAGCCGGTAGGCATTGATCCGCACTGACCTTGAAATGACATTCCGTCCGGTGTTGTGTTGCACGTCACGCGGCCACTGACCAGCCGGCGGCGATCGATTACCAGAACCCTCCACATGGATCTGTTTCTCGAAGCTGCTCCGCCCTTCTGAAAGCTGAGCCTCCATTCGTTGCTGTTTAATGACGTCACACCCTCTACGGGCGCTGATTGGCCAGCGTTGTCCGGCGCTGCGAAGGCTCGTCTCTGGTGATTTCTGTCGTCGAGAAAGCTCCGGTCAGCTGTGGAGGGCGGGCGGCGTGGTTTATATTCTCGCTTTCGGCCCGCAGAGGCAACCAGTCGGATTTGAGCCTTCAAAGAGCGAGCGGAGCTCACGTGAGTTTTCAGCGACAAGCATGGATACGTTCCTGTTTTTCGAGCCCTACGGCCGCCGGTGGGCGCCTCGGCGGGACATCAGTTCCCACGGACCGCTGAGCTTCTGGGACCCGTGGTCAACTTTTGCTGAGCTGGACGGGCCCGTCTGGCGCCCATTCACGCACGTCCCAGGACAGCAGTGTCTGAGGGGTCCTCAGCAGGAGCAGCAGCAGCAGGTGAAGAAAGCCGAACCGGAGAAGAACGAGGGCTTCAAGCTAGCTCTGGACGCTACTGGCTACAAGCCGGAGGAAGTCAGCGTGAAGCTGTCGGACGGCGTGGTCACGGTTCGCGCCCGCCACCACGAGAAGACCAGCGGCGGTCTGGTGACCAGCAGCATGGTGCGCCGTGTCCGGCTGCCGGACAATGTCGACGCCAGCGCTCTGAGCTCCCGGCTGACCCGCGAGGGCCAGCTGGTGCTGGAGGCTCCTCCGGTCGGCTCCAAGGAGGCCATCAAGGCGCCCGAGGAGAAGAAGGCGGTGGAGGCGGCGCCGGCCCCGGAACAGATGCAGGTGGCTGAGCCGGTCGAGAAGCCTCAGTTCCAGGTGGGTGTGGATGTCAGCGCCTTCAAACCGGAGGAGGTGAGCGTCAAGGTGGACGGCGGCGTGGTCACCGTGGACGCCCACCGCGAGGAGAAGTCTGAGGAGGGCTGTTCCAGCATGCGCATGGTGAGGAAGTTCACTCTGCCGCCCGGCGTCAACCCGGACCTGCTGAAGTCCCGGCTGACCTCCTCGGGTCAGCTGATGGTGGAGGCGCCCGAGAGCGAGCCGCCGGCCAAGGAGGGTGGCGAGGGCGCCATGGAGACTGCCTAACTCGCCCGGTCCCCCTTCCCCTCCCCGGCCCACCGGCGACCCCTGCAGTAGCTGCCGCCGGGCCGGTGCGGAGCTGTGCTACCTACCTACGTGTCTGAGGCGCGGGGAAGCGCCCTGTCTCGGTTCGTTTGTTTTGTAGTCCGGTCTTGTTCGCGGCACGGGCTTGATTTGTGATGGGAAGTGATTTGTAAAATGTTACTGATGGTCTGCCACATTACCACGTTGCTTTCTGTGAATAAACGCTTTATGATGAATAAAATTGGGCTTTTTGGATACAGGAGAGTAACGGGAAAGAATGCGGGTGGAGATGGCAAACTGGTAGCTCTCAGGTGTCATAAGTATAAAAACTGGTCTGTATTCCGTGATTTTCGAACCAGCGATCCCGGTGATCAGAATGCAGGTCACATTTCCGTAATAGATTGGCATCGAAAAATGGGTGATAACTTCTGTGCACGCATCGTGACCTCACGCATGACCTCAGAAAGGTTCTCAGGTCCCCATAGTGAATCGATCGGGATGTCTTGAGTCTGGAGACAGCGGAGACTTTAGCGGGGGAGGCCAGTGGCGGACGCCGTGCAGTCTGCATCCACCCCCTAGTAGCGACATCTGTCGCTCCGCCAAATGCCAGACAAGTTCCCCGACCTCCCGCTAGGTGGTGCCGTCGCTGCACTGGTGGCTGGCAGTTGGCACAAACCACGCCATCATCGATTGCACAATTCGGTAACCACTAACCAGGCTCTTTAGCGTGGTCGGTTACCAGCATACACGATCAATACCGTAAGGTATATTACCAACAACGACAAGCTCGGTTAAATAACCATGAAAAACATCCTTGATCGGGCAGGTTTCTATCCTGAGACAACAGCAAGGCACAATATTCGTCAGAAGTGATTTGTACAGCTCAGGCAGCTATGGTGGATTGATATTCTAGAAGCGTAGTGCATCATAGGACGAGAAGATAAAGATTGCTGAACCAATAACCCTCTGTTAATACGCACTGAATTAAAACTTCATTCATCCACGGCTAACAGACACTAACCAAGCGGTCAACGTGTCATCTGGAACGTTTTAAATGGAATAGAGCGATATTGTTGCTTGCATGTTGCTGGCCGGCACACAACCACATAGATCAGCGAGAAATCGGGACATAGCAGAGCACAGGAGGGGCACCCCTAGGGTGAAACAGCTCCGACGGCCCATACCAATCCATCTTATTGCGTAATCTACCTCAAACAATTTACAAACTCGTGGTGGTCCACAAATTACGCAACAACTAAGCAAACACTAGCTCTACAACTCGGCAGCTTGTCCCTACTAACGAGCTTTCCTGGCCGAAGGCACTTACATATCGAGCAGCAGTCACAGCCGACGATTACTCCACCCGCTCCGCGCAGCGCCGTGTAGCTGATCGTTCCACCTCGATACAGACGAGCCTCTGCACTCCCCAACACAGCCCTAGTCGTTCGGGGGCGAGCCTCCGACACAACCACCGTCTGGCACGGAGCCCCGAGCACCGCTTCACCCGCTCACAGGTTGAACAGTGTGCGCATATCGTTGATGAACTGCACCCGGCGCTGTTCAGCCGTCAGACCTACACCTCCGAACGTGCTGGTCATCAGCTGGCGCTTCTTCTCCTGCAGATCCATCATACGCTCCTCGACACTGTCCTTGGCCACCATTTTGACGATGGTGACGGGCCGCGTCTGACCCAGACGATGGCACCGGTCGAAGCACTGCTCCTCGCTGGCGGGGTTCCAGGCCGGGTCGAGCAGGAAGACGCGCGAGGCGGCCGTCAGGTTGATGCCCTCACCGCCGGCGCGCAGTGACAGCAGCAGCACGGAGGGCGCGCCGGCGGTCGTCTGCGACAGCTGCGCGATGGCGCGCCGCCGCTCCGGCAGCGACATGGTACCGTCCAGCCGGCAGAAGACCAGGCCGGCGGCCCGCAGCGGCGCCTCCAGCCGGTCCAGCAGCTTGGTAAACTGGGACACCACCAGCGCCTTGGTGGACGCGTCCTCGGCACGCATGGCGCGCAGACCCTCCATTAGGGAGTTGATCTGGGAAACGGCGCAGATGTCAGTTGGGCACGCGGGACGGGACGATTTCAAAGGCTCAATGCCTTTGAAAGCTGGTATTTGATGAAGTTCGGCAGAATACACAGTACGCACTATGACAGTAAAAAATTACTAGGAATATCAAAAAGAGCTGCAAAACTCTCAGAAATGAACATGGCAAAAGTACAGGCTATTGTACTATTTGCCAAATGCAAAGGCAAATAAATCATTTTAAGATAATTGAAGCATTCAGCCCACGCAAACAACTCAGACGAGACCTTAACCCGCGCGGGGCTGGGGGGGGTAAATTTTACCCCCCCCCCTCGCGAATTTTTGCAATATCTCAAAAACGGCGGCGCGCAGCGCCGCCAAACTTTCAGTACCTTTTCTTACATCAATTTGACACGTTCCCTAAAAATTTGAGCGAAATCCGTCGGAAATTTTTGAGAAATTGACGTTTTAGTGACGTCATGTTCGCCATTTTCGCCTCAAAAACGGCAAAATTTCAAACGCCGGTAACATCTTCATTTTCAAAGGAATCAAGACGTAACAAAAAAGGTTATACGTAATTCTACTTTGTCTATCAAATGGCTATCTCGGTTTTTTGAAAATGTTGGATTTTGGCCCAATTTTTTTTCTTCAAAAAACTGACTTTTTTTGGAAAATAAGTATAAAATCCAAAATTTTAGGTGTATCGAAAAAACCAGAATATATGTCAGAGAAGTGGTCTATGTGCACCTACATACCAATTTTTAGAAGAATCGGTTCAAAAATGTGAGAGTTATTCAAAGTTTTATGACGTCACGACACACACAAATTTTGAAAAATGATTTTTTGGAAGTTCTAGACCTCGTACGGAAACAAAAATAGCACCATTCGATTCGCCGTGAACAACTGCATCAGATAGACACCTTTTTAGACCTTAACAACCAACTTCAAAATTTGACCTCACTTGACCTGACCTTGACCTGACCTCGACCTGAAATTCATCCAGAGGTGGTCCATATCACTTATTGAGTGTGCCTATTGAATTCTAAGAGTAAAATGACCCATAAAACATGTGTCGCACATGCCCTTTTCTATATTTTGTTTTTTGGTGACCTGACCTGACCTTGACCTTGACCTCTGAATGATATTGTATGCAACGAATATTGTCTTGGTAGCCTAAGAACACGTTTTGGGCAATCAGTCTCAGTCCATGACTCCATTCTTCGGCAACTACGGTGCAAGGCCGATACTGTAGAAACTTGCAATTTGTACCCTTGACCTGACCTTGACCTTGACCTCAAACTTTAAATTAAGTACATGTTTTAAGTTGTTCTTGATGAGAGCTTTCGATTGGCGTTTGAATTTTCCAAATCAGACCATTAGTTCGGGAGATAACAGGGGGGGGGGGGGGGGTAAAATTTACCCCCCCCCCCCGAGCCCCGCGCGTTCGGCTGGAGACCCCAGCCCCGCGCGGGTTAACACTCTCCCGATACACTCTCCTCTTGACTCACCTTGGCGCTCATGACATCATCAGCGGGCATGTCCTCCTCCTCGCCCTTCTTCTCAGCCTGGTCGGCCTTCTGCTCCTCCTCAGGCACCTCCACTAGCTGCCCGGCGCGCAGGGGGCCGCGGCACAGCGGGCACTGCGGGTCGGGCGCCGCCGCCGGCCGCGGGCCCGCCGCCGCGTCCAGCAGACGACCCACGCACGGCCGGCAGAACACGTGCGAGCAGACGGTGATGACGGGCTGCCGGAGCGGCTCGAAGCAGACGGGACACTCCTCGTCGGACCCAGAGCGCAGCATCTCTGTCAGCGCGGCCACCAGCCGCTGCCGCTCCTGGGGGGTGCGAGCAGAGATCGGGTCAGAGTCAGGTTTGTGAGGGAGAGGATCAGGGATGTGGTACGCCGGTTAGAGTGGCTCAATATCTTAAAAATAAGTCATTTGGTGAGTGCAACAAAGATGGTGTGAGTATGCAAAGAGCGTAATTCGGTAGTTAAATTAGACAAAGATGAAATACAGACTCTAAATATGCTGGCTGTGAATTGGGATGCATCAACTATGACATGTGTCAGATTCCGATGTCAGACAAAAAGTGAGATAGAAGATGACAGCTTACCTCGGGGCCGATTTCCTCTGCCGACGGCCCGGCTCCCCCCTCCTCGTCCTCCTCAGGCAGCGGCTGGTCGTGCGCCGGTACCAGCAGCGGATGACAGCACAGCTGGCGCAGCCGCAGCAGCATCACCAGGATCTGCACCTGGCGGCGCACGATGGTGCCGTCGCGGATGAAGCGCGCCACGCCGCGGCGGCACTGTTCCTCCATCGTGTCGTAGCGGCGCCGCTGCTCGCCCTCCAGTGTCACGTGCTGGACGTAGACGTTGCGCGCCGGTAGGGAGACGATCGGCCGGCCGTCCACCTTCTGCTCCTTCAGCCGGCGCAGCGCGATCGACGCCATTAGCGTCTGCAGCCGCTCCACGGCGTCTGGGCTGCCGCGCATCACCGGCTGTTCCAGCATCATACGCCACAGCGGCCGCTGCGAGGCGTACGGCTCCAGACGCAGGAAGCGCACCAGCGACCACAGGTCCTTGAGTCGGTTCTGCACGGGTGTACCGGTGAGCACCCAGCGACGCTCGGCTCGCAGCTCGAACGCGGCGCGCGCCATCAGCGAGCGCGGGTTGCGGATCGTGTGCCCCTCGTCCAGCACCACACGCAGATAGTGTTTGCAGAGCAGCGGGCTGTCATCTCCGTGGTCCAGCGCGCGGCCCAGAGTGGCGTACGTGGTCAGCACAATGTCGGCGTCCTCCAGGTCGGCGGCCGTGCGCTTTGGCCCGTGGTAGCTGCGCACGCGCAGGTGCACGTGTTTGTGCACGTGCTGCTCCAGCTGGGTTTCCCAGTTGTCGAGCACGGACAGCGGGCAGACGATGAGCGTGGTGCGCGGTCCCCGCCAGCCGCTGCGGCCCTCACTGTCGCAGTAGGACGGCGGCACTGGGATGAAGTCACCACTGCCGAGGCTGGTGGTGCTGGTGGTACCCGAGCCCGAAGTCGCCTTCATGAGCACAGCGTTGGCGCCGCCAGACTGGCCCCGAGGGTCGTCATCATCGGGGAGGAAGTCTTCGTCCGAGTCTACCGTCACGAACGTGGTCGAGGGCCCGGCCGCCGAAGTGGACGCTTTGCTCGGTTTCTCCGTCGCCTCGGCCTTGACGCGCTTCAGGTCCACCTTTTCC